TCATCCGGTCTAACAATGGAACAACAGACTGGTTTAAGATTGGAAAAGGCATATGGCAGGGTTGTATACTCTCACCCACCCAACCTATTCAACTTGTATGCAAAACACACTGATGAATGCAAGGCTGGGGTAAAAATTGCTCGAAGAAACATTAACAACCTTAGATATGCTGATGTTACCACTTTGATGGCCGAAAGCAAGGAGGAGCTGAGGAGCCTTCCAACCAAGGTGAAAGAAGAAAGTGCAAAAGCTGCGTTGCAGCTAAACATTAAAAAAACCCCAAGATTGTGGCAATGTTGCACCTCAGAGTAGATTCACCTTGCTGAAAACCACCAAACTGCACACAGCCAGTAGTCTTTATGGTTTTATTAAAAATAAAAGGTAAAAAAAAGTTCTTAAAAGCAAAGGTAAATGTTCCAAAAGATCAATATAACATAGCACTTGAAGCTTAATACAAAAAGACATCAGCAAAGCAAAACCTAGGAGAACATGACAAAGTCCTGGAACCATGAATGACAAAACTGCAAGATAATCCAGCCTAGCTTAGGCAAGCTCCTTAGGTAAACGCGAAGTTGCTTTGACAAAGATCTGGTCTCAAACATGCTGTTTAATACCCTTTGCAAAACATGAAGGCGTTTCTCTGGCCTCTGGCCTCCCTCTTGTTGGCTATTCTTTCACTCCTTCGAATTCGGAATTCCAACCAGTCAGCCCAATCTAAAGTCCCCATATAATCAAGGTCAGTCTGTTCATTAGCCTGTTTCCCTGCTTGCTCATTATCAGGCTGAGAACCAGGCTGAGAACTGTCCTCCTTCTCTGAGTCAGACTGCACCTGGCTATTTTCAGTATCAACACTCTTGTGCCTTACTGTGGGAAACTGCATTTCTTCACTGCCTATAACAGGAACATTTTGAACCAAACTGTGAACCTGAGTCCCATCATCCTCATCAGAAACACTCTCTGATTCCAGCTGAGTCACAACAGGCAATAAGGATGATTGATAACTGGGAAATAGAGAGAGAAAAGGTGTAGGAAGTGACAGACTTTGTATTTTTAGGTACAAAGATTACTGCAAACGCAGACTGCAGCCAGGAAATCAGGAGACGCTTCCTTCTTGAGAGGAGAGCAATGACCAATCTCAATAGAATACTGAAGAGTAGAGAAATCACACTGGCAATGAAGGTCCGCATAGTTAAAACAATGGTATTCCCCATAGTCACCTACAGATGTGAGAGATGGACCATAGGGAAGGCTGAGTGAAGGAAGAGAGGTGCTTTTGAACTGTGGTGCTGGAGGAAATTTCTGAGAGTGCCTTGGACTCCACAAGCCGCCCCATCACTTTTTTTCGCCCATTATTTTTAATTTTAATTACATTTGGCCTACCCATAGATTTTAAAGTGTGTTGTCCTATTTGATAATGCTTATGTTATTGTTTTATTGTTTTGTTGTTTTAAATTGCTTGCATTGTTGTTGTTATTGCTTGTATTGTTGTATTTTGGGATCGGCCTCATGTAAGCTGCACAGAGTTCCTTGGGGAGATGGTAGTGGGGTACAAAGTGTTATTATTATTATTATTATTATTATTATTATTATTATTGGACTGCGAGAAGATCCAACCAGTCCATCCTCCAGGAAAGAAAGCCCGACTGCTCATTGGAGAAAAGGAGACTAGAGACAAAGCGGAAGTCCTTTGGCCACATCATGAGGAGACAGCAAAGCCTAGAGAAGGGAATGATGCTGGGGAAAGTGGAAGGTAAAAGGAAGAGGGGCCGATCAAGGGCAAGATGGATGGATGGCATCCTTGAAGTGACTGGACTGACCTTGAAGGAGCTGGGGGTGGTGACGGCCGCAGGGAGCTCTGGCGTGGGCAGGATCATCAAGTTTGCAGACACACCAAATTGGGAGGGAGAGCCAATACTCCAGAGGACAGGAGCAGGATTCAACGATCTTGACAGATTAGAGTGATTGGCCAAAACTAACAAAATGAAGTTCAACAGGACAAATGCAAGATACTCCACTTTGGCAGGAAAAACGAAATGCAAAGATACAGAATGGGGGACGATGCCTGGCTCGAGAGCAGTACGTGTGAAAAAGATCTTGGAGTCCTCGTGGACAACAAGTTAAACATGAGCCAATAATGTGATGTGGCGGCAAAAAAAGCCAATGGGATTTTGGCCTGCATCAATAGGAGCATAGTGTCTAGATCTAGGGAAGTCATGCTCCCCATGCTCTATTCCGCTTTGGTTAGACCACACCTGGAATACTGGAAGAGTTCCCTGGTTGCCACAGCATTGGACCATGCCAGTTGAAGTGAGGCGCGAGTTGAAGTGAGACGCGTTGCTCAGAGCAGTACGTGTGAAAAAGATCTTGGAGTCCTCGTAGACAAGAAGTTAAACATGAGCCAACAATGTGATGTGGCGGCAAAAAAAGCCAATGGGATTTTGGCCTGCATCAAGAGGAGCATAGTGTCTAGATCTAGGGAAGTCCTGCTCCCCATGCTCTCTTCCGCTTTGGTTAGACCACACCTGGAATATTGTGTCCAATTCTGGGCACCACAAATGGTTGCCACAGCATTGGACCATGCCAGATGAAGTGAGGCGCGAGTTGAAGTGAGACGCGTTGCTCAGAGCCGTACGTGTGAAAAAGATCTTGGAGTCCTCGTAGACAAGAAGTTAAACATGAGCCAACAACGTGATGCAGCGGCA